AAAAAACAATAAGATAATGGTTACTCATTCAACAATGTTTGAATCTCTGTTTTGTCAGACACTATTCCCAATGCAAGGAATACAAAGGTGATCTAAACAAGAAGAAATTCAAGAATGTTTACAATGTTTTTAAGAACACAGATTTTGCAGTATGATGATAAATTAACAAAAGTCTTAACTGATCCATTAAAGAAGTCACTGAAAGCCTGTTTTGCACAAGCAGCAGACACAGCGCCACAGGCAGGTGCATAAGACACGTGCTCTGTTCTGCAGAGGGCAAAATACTATGTCCAGACCAGCAGGATCTGTTTGCAGAGAGGTCTTGATGTGACCCAAGGAACAAAGGCGAATGGGGAGGCAGCACTGTGCTCCAGGCTTCCTCAAGACCCCTGCATACTCCAGATAAAGCAGAGGGCAAGAAGGCCTCTCTGCATCAGGTTTCTAACACCCAGGCCTAGGAGCTAGGAGGACAGTGTTTTCTTGGACTTGGGCCCTTTGTGAAGCTTGGTCTTCCCTGGCACAAGACACAAGGAAGGGCTAATTTTGCAGGAGCCCTGCAGCTGTTATGAGAAACAACCCTGAGCCTGGGAAAGGTAAGCAGACGTATCTACTTGGCTGGCAAAAGCAAGCACCAAGCGCCTGTCAGCCTCTCTTGGCAAACTTCAGGTGCAGAGCAGAGAGAAAAGGAGTCTCATGATGTAAAGTCCTAATGTGGCCACAGTAGTCCTCACCATGGGAATGCCCTTACATCACCCTGCCCCAGCCTGAACACAAGCACTTCCATTATGCTTTTCTAAGCAACAGAAGAGGTGTATGTAATACTCAATATTTATGAAGAACTTCTTTTTTCTTTCTTTCTTTTTTTTTTTTTTTTTTTTTTTTCTTGTTTTTTTTTTTTTTTTTGTGTGTGTGTGTGTGTGGTACTGTGGATTAAAACCAGAGCCTCGGGCTGGGGTTGTGGCTCAGCAATGGAGTGCTTACCTAGCACATGTGAGGCCTTGGGTTTGATCCTCAGCACCAAATGAAAATAAACAAATAAAATAAAGGTATTGTGTCCAACTACAACTTGAAAGAAAGAAAGAAAGAAAGAAACCAGAACCTCCTACATGCTAGGCAAACACTCTACACACAGCCAGTCCCAGTCACCTGTTTGTTTGTTTGTTTTTTAAAGACATGGTTCATAATTACCCAGGCTGGCCTGGAACTTAAAATCCTCCTGCCTCAGCCTCCTGAATAGCTGGGATCACAAGCATGTGCCACCATGTCCAGCTATGCAATGCATTTATTAACCAAAATAACAATCCAATGAAATTCAAAGGTTATGAGAAGTGAGGGTTAAATTCCCCTCACTGTTATTTGAGCATTTAAAGGACATAGATTAGACTCCAGATGTAAACAATAGATGATAGAGACATTATTAATGCCATCAGTAATCCTAATTTCTGTTCCCATGGTGTTTATTAGTCATATTCCAGTATACCTTATCTCCACTTACATTAAACAAGAGAATATAAATTTACAAATTAAAGAAGTTCATGGTATTGAAGTATCAATAGTACAACTTTTTGCTATTAGCCATACTGGCAATCTCCAGGGGATCTATGGCAAGGTCCCAGTTGAAAGACTGTAGAGTGGTTACTCTTATCTTTCAAGTCAAGAAGCTGGCTTTCAATGAAGGCCACTGAACCCCCTGTGCTTGATAAAACCTGGAGCCTCGAAACTGGCCAAGTTCTTGTTGATCAGACTCATGAGTGCAATGTGTGGTAATGTCACGTCAACCTAGCAATAATAAATTGCCCTTCCTCCGTCACTTAACACGCCTCCTAGGTTTCATCCAACAAAACTACTGCCAGTAGCATATGTAGGATCATCCAATACCAAGAGTTTTTTTTTTTTTTTACAAGGATGAAACAATGTGGGGGGAAAAAATACTTAGAAAACCATGAAGTGCTAATAATAAAATAGCTACCATTTACTGGGTGCTTTCTGTGCCAGATGAAGTGATCCGTACTTTCTGTCATTTTTACTTTTTTTGCCAAGTCGGGTGTCATTATCCTCAATTTACTGAAAAGGAAACTGCAGTTAGTTGTGACTTGTGTAAGGCTAACAGAACACAAGTCTCCAAAATATACTTTTCACAACACCAGCCTGTTGCATCAACGAAAGGAAAGACCATGGTTAGTAACTTCAAACGTCCACCCTAACATAGAAACTGGGATCTCTTTTCAGCACAATCTGAAAGTACCAGGCAAAGAAGGTGCAGAAACTCAGCCCCTTAAAGTCCTTAACTAGAAAGCAGTGCCCCCAGGCTAGTCCCCAGGAAAAATGAATACAGATTTCCCATTTCTCCACCTACCCCAACCAATCCTTCCTTGCCCAGGAACAGGACCCTACAGGGCACAGTGGCACATGCCTGTAATCTCAGTGACTCAGGAGGCTGAGGCAGAAGGATTGATACTTTGAGGCCAGCCTCAGAAACTTAGTGAGACTCTCAGCAACTTGAGAGCTTCTGTCTCAAAATAAAAAAGAAGAACTGGAGATGGAGCTCAGTGGTAAACCACCCTGGTTTTAATCCCTAACACTACCCCTGCCCCCCCCACACACACACACAAAAGGAGCAGGTCCCTATGATGGTCCTCTTCCTCCCTCTACCCTAGAATGGGAGAATGCTGATAAATTACCTAATGCTAATTAGCTGTCATAGCCCTTTACCTTGTAGGAAACAAAAAACCACAGGCCCTGATGCTCTGGTCCCTGTCCTTTGGACTCCCAAGTTGAGGCAATGAGTTAGTTTGGAGTGCAGAAGCCCAGACTGTAGTGCTAGCCCTCTCCTTGTAGCAACCACAGAGGATGGTCGCTGACACCCTGAGCCTTGAACCATGAAAGGCCAGCCTCTGACCCCACTAACCTCAGACAAGGGCACTGTGGCCCTCTTCCCCCGTGCACAGCACCAGTCCCTATCCGCAAGGCAGACCAAAGGCTTCCAAGCCCCTCAAAGTGTTCCTTAAAGCGCCTACCTCCTAGTGGACACTCGTTATGAGCTCCCCTCTTTGCCTCACTTCCCCAGGCCAATGGGGCGGGGAGTCCTGATGCCGACCCCCCTTCTGGGAGCCTGCCAGAGACTGCTCGCCCTCAGAGTGAGCATGGGCTCCTAGGACTTACACCACTGTCCAAACTGGCAACAGCTCCAGAGCCCCAGACCCTCAAGATCTGCGCGAGTAATTACACCCCTACCTAACTCTCTAGCCAGGACAGTACTCCGCGCCCTAACGCCGGTAGAAACTGCAGAGACCCCAGCCCAGCGGTGGCGCGATCGAGACCCCGCCCCGCACGATGGCACCTCGACCTCGCCCCGCTGCCCTCGGGCTCTCAGGCGCCGAGGCCCCAGCACGACCCTCCGACCCGCGCGCTCCGAAGCCTCCGCGGGTCACCCGACCCCGCGGCCGCGGGCCTGACCTTGTCGGAGCTCGGGGTCGTCCAGCACGTTATAGGCCGCGTAGTCGCGGACGCCGTGCAGCCGCAGGATCTGCACCACGGCGTTGCTGAAGCCGCACTGGGGCTGCTCCGGCGTCCCCTTGAGGAAGACCACCACCTTGTCTTTCTTCACCATCGTGTCCAGCTGTTCCGCCCGGCCGCCGCCGCCCGAGCCTGCCGCCCGCACGCCGGTACCCCGGAAGCCGCCGCCGCCCGCGGCCAGTCCCCAGCGGAGTAGAGCCGCCGCCGCCCGGCCCAGGGACGCGCTCATCCCCTCCCGCCCTCCGGAGCCTTCTACGGCCCCCGAACCTCAGCGGCCACTGAGTCTTCCCTAGGCCCGCGGCGGCCCGGCCCGCCCCCCAGAGGCCCTCATTGGACGGGATCCTAACTGCTCTTCACGATTGGACAATACCAGCCCGCGCAGGTGGGAGGTGGGCCTTACGTCGGCACCTCACCGCCTTCCTATTGGCTGTCGGCAATAGCTTTTCCAGTTGATTGGACAGAGTGGATGCCCATCAGAGTCACGCTGAGGGACTAAGGGAAACAAAACTGGGGGAAAGCGACTTTCTTCCGGGGAGTCGCCAGGGGGCCAGCAGGGATGCCCTGGGATGGCGAGGAAAGGCGCTGGGCGGGGTTTCGTCTGTTCTGCGGAACGCCGGGAAGGGGTCACTTCTAGACGAAGGTTCCGGTTCCGAAGTCGGCCGCCGGGGGGTTGCCATGGCGACGCGGCGGGCAGTCGATCGGACTATAGCCGAATCCCGAGAGTCGGAAGCACTAGGGCAGGCGGGCCCCCGCTTCTCCAGCCCCGGTGAGCCTCGCGGGCGCCCGAGGAGCCGACACGACGGGGAGCTGGGCGGGGCTCCGGCCTCAGGCCTGCGGGTTCCCTCCCTGGCCCCGCCGCGCACGTGGGCAGCGGCCCAGGCCCCGCCCCGCGCGCGATTTTTTCTCTGGAACAACTTTTGCTTTAAAAATGTGTCAGGTGCTGTCGCCCGCGCGGTCGCTGGACTTCGGGCCTCGCCGGTCCTCCAGCCCAACTGAGTCAGCGCTCGTGCCTGGGCTGGGCATGGGTTGCTGAATGGAGAACTCAAAAAGGGAGGAGCTGCCAGGCGCCCGCGGTCGGGCGCTCTGAAGCTCCCGCGGGCGATCACGTGAACCTGCGAGTTCAAGACCAGGCTGGGCCGCCTAGCGTGACCCGGTCCGGAAAAGAAAAAGTAAGTAGGAGTAATAAATGAATGGGTTCTTCCCACAGCCATCTCCCCAGCAGCTTCGGGGTGCTCGACGCGGTGCCAACACCGACTATCCCAGGACACCCGGTGTCCCCGAAGCTTGTAGTTAGCATGAGAAATGAGAAGCGGAAATAAAGCCCTGTGGGGGTACCCAGGAGAGAAAAGGCTTCCTCAGGCCACTGCGCATATGTGCCATTGCTTGGCCTGTGTTTACTAACCAGAACAAGGGCTGGAACGTGGTAGGTGCTCTTACTGGTAAAAGCATGAATCCAAAGAGCAGGACTCGGTGGAATGCTGTATGGTCTGCAGTCTTGGGACCGCGCTGGGTTGGTGGTACCCAAGAGCTCACCAGACTTGCAGAAAAAGCATACTCCGGAGGAAGCTGAGGCATGCCTGCTCCAGAGCCAGCGGTTCCATGTGCAATTTTCCTCTGATAGTTCCTGAATACTGTTGCCACGGTGATAATGACCTCCATGTCATTATCTATCCACCAACAGTAAGAGAAGCTTTGCAGTCGAGATATTGTTTGGCAGACAGAGTGGTTTCTGTTGGACACTAAGTACTGCTACAAATTATTTTTTTAACCTTTGAGTTATTTTTTAAGTAATGCTGGAGGTGATTTGTTTATTTTGGGGGAATGCTCAAGTTTAAAACCGGAAAATCAGCACATGTCAGCTTCTGAGTCTTCGAGATAACCATCCAGCATGAAACTTACTAATAAACTTAGGACACTACCGGGAAGTGCTCTTTATTGTCATCTTATAACCCCATCGATATTATTGATACTTACTAATTTTCTAATGTGGGATCCAAAATTAGAATCTTTGTTTTGGGCTGAGGTGTAGCTCATGCTTGACCCTGGGTTCAATCCCCAGCACTGAAAAAGAAAAGAAATAATTTTTCTTTGTTTTACAGATCCATTAATTCCAGATAAGTCAGAGGAAGGAGCATCATGGGAAGAAATATATAGAAAATGCTGTTAACGCTGAGGTGACTGTTTTTCAAAGTCAGAAGGTGTCCTTAACAATACAGAATATATTAATTTCCTTCCAAAATCATCTTTTATTCATATGTATATTGGAGTAAGTTTGTTACTTAAAAAAATTTGATAATTTGTTCCTGAAAACCTACATTGTTTTTTATTTAAACTGTCTTAATTCTGTTTTTGTGTTGACTTAGAGATGGAGAATTCACAAACTGTGTTCTGAGGATCTGAGACGGAGTAGTAATGGGAACATATGTGTAAACCGCACACACTCTGTGTTTTCATATATTTATATATTTTATATAAACATTATCCTATCCCTAAACTAGTGTGTAATGTTGTCTTCTGAAGAACATTTGTCCTTTTCAATTGTCAGATGTTACTAAGTTGAGAATGCAGCTCTCATTAAAAATTAAAAGTAATTCTTGAGCAGGAAGAGTACAAAGTCTATGTTTTTCAACATTATAGTGGATATGTAGTGTCTTATAGATAGGAAGACACGTGACATGCCGAGGATCTATGGGCATTCTTTCAGGAGCTGGGACGGGTTCCTTTGATAGAGTGACCAAGGGCAAGAAAGCAATTTAAATCTCTAAACCAAAAAAAAAAAAAATTGAAACAGTATATCTAAATTTAAGTCCTTAAGGGTTTGAGGATATGGCTCAGTGGAAGAACACTTTCCTAGCATGTGCAAGTTTTATCCTCAGTGCCACAAAAGGCAATAATAAAGATACATTGAAACTTTTAGTAAAATACAACCTAAAATACAGTGAAGTATGGCATCTGTTAGCTGGTTCTGTTTGTGACTTAATTCCTTTGGAGTATTAGCACCAAAAACCAAAAAGAACATTTAAACTTTTATACATGATTCACTATTTTGATTTTGAGATTTTTCTTTAGAAATTTTATAACAAAAACATACTTGTTAGAAATTTGCTGTTGTGTTGTTGAGCGTTTTGAACAAGTAAGTCACCTGTGTCTGCCAGTTTGTGTTCTCTCCCTGTGGGTTTAGTTTGTTTTGTGGAACCAGGGCCTCATCCATGCTAGGCAAGCTGTCACCCAGATCCTAAGGTTCTCATGAATTTCCAAATTTCCCCACACCCAGTGGGCATTAATGAGCAGTGAGGAGAATCCTAGGACTAAACCCCAAGTTCCCCACACCTTGTAAACATGCTGACTCTGACACCCCAAAAATGTTTCTCCCTATCCTTTCAAACAGATATGACTGCATGTATGTGGTGAATATCCTCATTTGCATCTGCCTTTCCAAAAGCAGCTTCACCACTGAAACCACAGTGGAAACCTATAGCCCCTTTTGCTCTCCCAGCCCTTGATGAAGAGCTAGAGTTGGGGTTGCTGAGCTTGCAAGGTGACAGGTGACATGTTGTCTGAACATTTAGCAGGTAGCTCTTTCCCTTCCCTTGCTCTTGGAGCCAGTGCTGTGTTCTTGATTCCTCAACAATGACCAGCTTTTAGAGGAGAAGGAGGTGAGTTTCATAAGAAAATGGAACACAGAAGTGCTCTCCTAGCTGGCCAGACCTTCCTGCCAGAATCCTTCTAAGAGAAAAGTGGCTGCTTGGGTTACACAAGGGGTGGAGCCACCACACATTCCTGAGCTAAAATAGCATTTACGACCCAGAGTTTGTGGTTCTGAGCTGGAACCTGAAACCTTTCTGTGGAGCTATTATCCAGTAATTTTAGAACATCACGCGCTGCATCCCTGGAATTCACTTGATTCCCTGAACCAAACATATATATGTGAGAGACGAGTGCAAAGCCAGACTGCCCAGAGAATTTTTCTAATTCCCACTGCAGATCTAGAGATGCCTTTTGGTTTTGACTACATCCATCTGACAAGGCAGCTGGTTCATAAATACTCTCTGGCCGTGGGAATGGACTCCAATTTACTAATCCCTGTTGCCCACACTCTGGGGACCCAGCCTACAGCCAGGAAGGCAGGCTTCATTAGGGCCTGCTTGCACGGTGGCTCACAGGTCCTACTCACCCCACCTCTTCTGCCCTCTAAGGAGAGAAGATGTGCCGCAGATGGGCTTAGGTCAGTGCAGACTAGTGCTGAAGAAATGGGGCGCATTTAGAAAATCCTGAGTGCCATAGTAGGACCTGATCCTGCCCTGGGATTTGGAGTGTGGGATGTGGCGCTGGGTTCCAATCCTTAACATCATTAAATACTCAGAAGTTTCCTCGGATTTTTCAACACCTCCCATTTCACCTTCCTGGAGTTTTGAAAAAATGTACTTATGACATCTGTTGAAGATTATACATATTTCAAGATTTCTTTATCTAAGGCAGCAGAGTTTTAAGGCCTCTATTGTGCTGTGTTCCTAAATGCTTCCTTCAACTTGATATTATCTTGTGTATATGTTCTAATTTTTATTTTTAAAACAGCTTTTGTGTACATTAATCCACTTGAACCTTACATCAAACCTAGGATAATGATTCTTAGGCATTTTAGTCTCTAGATTCTGTTCTCTTTTTAATATGTATTTATAACATCTTGTTGATAGACTCTGCCACTGTGCTCCTCTGTACATTTTGTTTTCACATGCAGTCTCCCCACCCACATACTGTGGATTGAACTCAAGCCTGCTCTACCACTGAGCTGCACTGTTGGCCCTTTTTATTTGAGACACCCTTGCCAAGTTGCTGAGGCTGGCCTTGAACTTGCTATCCCCCTGCCTCAGCCTCCCGGGTAGCTGTGATTCCAGATGTGTGCCACCAACCTGGCTACATGGAATTTGCATTTTTGTGCTGATTCAGAATCACCAGCAAGTCCCACAGAAAACTATGGATTGAGATATATATATATATATATACACACACACACACACATACATACATACACACACACACTGCATATATATGATTTGTGCTTTGTAAAATTACAGTGATGATAATTTCAGTGCAGTTAATAAAGCTAACCCTTAATTCTCCACCTCTGAAAGTAGTGTTCCCTTTTTCTTACCAAGGACCAAACTACTTGCTCTTGCCCTTTGCCAACACACATCTGTTGGTGGTGGTTCTACTGAGAACCTTGTTTTATCCCAAAGGAAAGAGCTCAAATCAGACCTTCTGTAAGGTTGTATTAAGAATTAAATGGGAAGCATAACACTCCTTAGGCCTTTTAATTAAATGTGATAAAAGAACCGGCTTTTCCTCCCTTCCTGTGGAAGGAGCAGTGCTAATGCTTTGCATTATGTGCTGCTTTTTTTTTTTTTTTTTTTTCCTTTTTACCAGCAGATAGTTCTGTGACTCATATTCCAAAGATTTCTGACAAGGTGCCTAGACCACAGTAGGAGAAGCTGTTGTGCTGGGAAGATGAGTCTGTCAGCAGAAGCCTTCAAGGCCTCCGTAACCACCACCGAGCCTGCAGCCCCAGGAGTGCTCATGAAGTTTGTTTTCTTTTGATCGTTGCAGTGTATTGTCCAGGTCTTAAACACTCTTCATAATGAGTTGGAATTTCATTTTGTACTTCCACCTTTGAGCCTTAATAATTTCATGTCTTTAAAATTAAGTCTTGTGATAATCTGTGATATGTATGTTCTTCAACAATTCATACCCTTTTTTTGGAGATATTGGGGATGGAACCCAGGCTCTAACATGGAACTACATCACCAGTCCTTTGTGTGTGTGTGTGTGTGTGTGTGTGTGTGTGTGTGTGTGTTGAGACAGGATCTCACTAGTTGGTGAAATTGGGCTCAAACTTGGGATTCTCATGACTCAGCCTCTTGAGTAGCAGGAATTACAGGTGTGCACCACTGTACCCAGCAAATATTATAATATATATATAATGTAAGATATCAAGTTATAGTCAGCCAGAACTTGAAGAGTTTTAATTAAAGACAATTATAAACCAATCACTTTCTATTTTTTAAAAAACTGGGCAAAGGGAGCTGTTTTTTGCATAGGCCTCATGCAAACCTGGGCAGCCAAGGTGATTTTGCATTAAAAGCCCCATTGGCCCACCTCTCTGCGGAAGTCCTGGGATCTGGCATCTATGTAGCAGCTTTACAGGGGCAGCTCTAAGTGTGCGCAAATCCAACTGTGCTGTCCCCATCAGTTCACCTCTACATACCACGCAACTGCAGCCCTGTGATAAGTCCCACGAAGTCTGGGGACAGGGCAATAATATCTTCTCACTTGAAGAAATTTTTGTTTGTATTAAAAATTACCCATGTCGTCTTTAAAGTTTTTTAAGAAACTTGTATTTTTTAACGAGTCTCTGCTTTACCCTGCAAGGCAGGTAGGGGGCACTACTCCCTCATCCTTAGGAAGCAGGAGCAGCCACTGGCCACTAAGGGTTGTTGTCCCTGTCATTAAATACAAGTTGAAATTCACCCATTTGCTGATTCTAGGAAGAGTCACTCTCACCCCAGGCTTGTTCTCACATCCGAAATGGATAGATAATTTTCTGAGTTTCTCATACTGTAGCTATAGCAGATTACAAGCAGAAAATTTTAAAAGGCTGTCACTAAAAGCAGAAGGAAGCAAAGACTACCAGGCCAACAGGAGATTTTCAAAATAAGTAGCAGACATCCTAGGACTTTTAAAAGCAGCATTCTAGGGCTGG